CTGAGGGGTGAGATGAGCCTCTGGGCTCAGGGTGTGACGTTTGTCCATTCCACGTGCCTTTTGAGGCCCCACTGTGTGTGGACACTGGGCTGGGGACCAGCCAGACGGTGTGAGTGCCCAGGCCCTGCCCGAAAGGAGAGAACATACAGTCTGGCGAGAGGCAGAAGAGGAAACTGGGCACTGCCGTCAAGGGGAGAGGAGCATCAAGGAGGGAGGCTTCCCCGGACCTGGGAGGACGGCCAGGAAGAAGTGGCATTTAGGGACGAATCCAATCAAGCCCCTAGGTCTAACCACATGGACAGGAATTCCAGGGGCTGGGGCTGCAGTCAGCAGAGTCTCGACTGTGGGCCCTGCAGAAGCAGCAACTCAGCGTCCTCACAGCTGTCTTGTGAGGGAAAACAAAAGGACGGGGTAAGCCTGCGCATGGAAAGGGAGTTAACACACAGGACAGCTCGTTGTAACATGTGGACTTTATTTGGACGATGATTTTTTTTAAATGTTGATGAATTAGTCTGCTCAGGCTGCCATAACGAAATACCACAGACTGGGCGGCTTAAACAACAGAAATTCATTTCTCACAGTTCTGGAGGCTGGAAGACCAAGATCAAGGCCTGGCAGGGTTCCGTTTCTGGTGAGGCCTCTCTTCCTGCCTTGGTTACAGTCGCTTATCCTCACATGGCCTTTCCTCGGGGCATGTGCAGGGGTGGGATGGGGGGCATGGAGAGAGAGATCTCTTCCTTTTCTTATAAGGCCACCAATCCTACCAGATTAGGACCCTACTCTTATAATTCTATTTAACCTTAATTACCACCTAAAGGCCCTGTTTCTAAATCCAGCCACGCTGGGGGTTAGGGCTTCAACATATGAATTTTGGGGGGACAGAATTCAGTCCACAGCAGATGACAGTTATGAGGAATTGGCACTTTGAATGCTGACTGGATATTTGATTATATTGAGGAATTATTGCTCAATATCTCTTAGGGTATGATAATGGTAATATTGTTTCATATATATACATATACATGTATATAATTTATATAAAACATATGTATGTGTGTATATATGCAACTATAGAACAATAGTACCATTATATCTATGTGCATATGTGTATATGAGTCCTTATCTTTTATTTACTTATTTATTTTGGGGGGGTTTTTTTGGTGAGGAAGATTGTCCCTGAGCTAACATCTGTTGCTAATCCTCCTCTTTTTCCGGAGGAAGATTGTCCCTGAGCTAACATCCATGCCCATCTTCCTCTCTTTTGTATGTCGAACACTGCCACAGCATGGCTTGACAAGTGGTATGTAGGTCTGTGCCCAGGATCCGAACCCACGAACCTCAAGTTACTGGAGCAGAGTGCGTGAACTTAACCACTACACCACCAGGCAGGCCCATGAGACTTTATCTTTTAGATACGCACTGAAATATTTATGAGTAAAATCATCTGATGTCTGGGATTTGCTTCAAAATGGTATGAGACTGGGGAGTGAACGGGCTGTAGATGGAGCAGAACTGGTCACGAGTTGACAGTTGTTGGATCTGGGTTATGGGTTCACGGGAGTGCATTATATTATTCTGTCTACTTTTGCCAAATTTGCTAATTATGTTCTAATTTCTCCATAATAAAACGTAAAAACAGGGGCCGGCCCCACGGCTTAGCAGTTAAGTGCGTGTGCTCCGCTACTGGAGGCCAGGGGTTCGGATCCCGGGCGCGCACCGACGCACCGCTTGTCCGGCCATGCTGAGGCGGCATCCCACATACAGCACCTAGAAGGACGTGCAACTGTGACATACAACTATCTACTGGGGCTTTGGGGAAAAGAAAGGAGGAGGATTGGCAATAGATGTTAGCTCAGAGCCAGTCTTCGTCAGTAAAAAGAGGAGGATTAGCATGGATGTTGGCTCAGGGCTGATCTTCCTCACATGAATGAATAAATAAATAAATAAATAAATAAATAAAAAGTAAAAACAGAACAAAAAATGAGGAGAATTAGTGACATTTAGGGGCGGGGGGAGGGACCAGGCATCTGGCAGGAGAAATTACTTAGGGGAAGCTCCAACAGAGTGAGGCTGTTGGGCGTGTCAGGCCCCAGTGGGTCACAGGCGCTGGAGCGAGAAGCTGTGCCAGGCGCCTCGGGGACCAAGATGACTAAGGCTCAGTCCCTACCCTCCAGGACAAAGACCAGTGTCAAGGAGGGCCCTGGCTTGGGATGAGCGTAACCAGAAGCCAGTGGGAGAGCCTGTGGGCCTGTGAGGCTTGAATGAGGGAAACAGAGGCAGTGGCCATTTGTTCTGGAAGGGCTGGGAGACCAGGAGGCAGAGGAGGCATCAGGCACAGACAACCCAGCATGCTAGGAGCAGGGAAGCCTAAGCGTGGAGCGGCAAGAACGTGGTCATCCAGGCTCCGAACCAAATCTTTGCCGGAATTGTAGGACACTTACCTTTGCTTTGGAAATCTGACCTCTCTTGTGTTTTTACTGGGTGACTTTGGGTAAGTTAATTAACCTCTCTGGTCCTCAATTTTTTCTTCTGTAAAATGGGACTAGTAACAGGATCCACCTCATAAGGCTGTTGTACGATTAAATGAGAAAATACTCGTAAAGCCCTTTGAAAAACTATGTGTTAGCTATTATTATCGTCAGAGTTTCAGGGAGGAGGCCTCCCTCCCCTGGGACCATGGGGTGGAGACAGCAGCCATTCAAATGAGAACCCCAGTGGGGAGGCGGGAGCACCCCAGTACTCCTCCCTGCCACCTCTTAACAGGTTGGTGATTTGTTTTTAATAAAAGAAGCTGTTTCCTTAAAGCAGTGAGCAGGTCAGAAGCAGAAAAGAAGTTGTTGAGAAAGGACCAAGTAAAATCCACTGGGCCTTGTGAGAAAGTATAGTTGGCCAGAGATGCTCAGGCCAAGAGGCCAGCCAAGGGCCCAGCCCCCAAAACTACCTCTGGGCCCTGTTGACCCCTCAGGGTGGCTTCTGGAACTGGGGGTCTACAGGAGTGAAAGGTCAGCCCCCATGAGGGAGGGGTGGGTCCCAAGCAGGCTCCTCCCTCTATGGGGAGCACTGGGACTTTCCCCTTTAGGGCTGTGGCCCTGAGACCACTTCCTCTTTCCTCACTCTGAAGCCAGGGGCAGGCCTGCTGAGCCCTTGGGAAAGACAGGAGCAGATTCCAGAATGTCTTAGCCCATCTATGACCCCAGGAGGGGGTGGCTGAGTGCACTGGCTGGAGGCCTTCCTCCCTGCTTCAGGGGTAGCTGAGGGCCACCCTGGAGGCCTGCAGGATGGAGGGGGCGAGTGAGGAGAAGCTGGTGTCTGTGTCCAATCTGGTGACTGCATTTGAGAACAGCAGGTAGGGGGCGGCGGGGGTGGGAAGGGTCCCCACGGCAGACCGGTAGCCTCCCTCCAGCTCCTCTGCCCATCCCCAGGCCCTCGGGCAGCACAGGCCCTCCCAGTCTCCAGGCTAAGGAAGAGGGCCAGGGCCAGCTGGGGCCTTACAGTGAGCAGTTCACCCTCTGGGCTCAGTCCTGGACACCTCCTGTCTGGGCAGTGCCCATGTCCCTGGGTCATGGGTTCCTCAGAGCATAAGAGATTGTTGTTGGCACCAGGAGCTGGACCGAGGTGAGAGTGTGTGTGTTGATGTATTGGGGAGAGTCCAGACATGTGTGTAATTATGAGTGAGTGTGGGTCGACCGGACACAGTGTTCAGGCTGCAGAACTCCACCCACTGCCCCTCCAGCAGAACTAATAGCTAATACTTAGCAAATGTTTACTCCTTATGAGCAGAATAACCACATAATTTATCATTCAAACCAGGACATGATTGAAACTGAAAGTAGATGCCATTAAATTTTGGGGGGGGAACAACAGGAAAAACTGAGCCTGTCTCAGACAAACTAGTACGTATGGTCAGCCTTCTATGGGGCTCTGTTCTAAGTGCATTTTGTTGCTTATTTCATTTAACCATCTAACAGCATAACGGGGGTAGGTTCTATTTCTATTCCCATCTTATAGACGAGAAAATGGAGGCACAGACAAGAGGGGAAGGCTTTAAGTTCATGGGCATGGGGCAATGCAGGGGCCTCTGTCTGAAGGGAAAAGGCTGGGCTGGATGTGTGAAGGTTATTGGCGGCCCCAGCAGGGGTGGTGTGTGGGGTGTGTGTGTGTGAGTGTGTGTGTGACATTAATCCACTCCGCAGGCATTTCTTAAGCCCAGGACTGTGTTAGGGACTGTCATAGGTAGGGTTCTCTGAAAATAGACTCTGAGGTAGAGATTTGCTTCAGGAGATTTACTAGGGAGAGTTTTGGGAACACACCTGTGGGGTGAGGGACGCAGCATTGGGCAGAGGGAGAAGTTGAACTGCTGTACACTTGCACTAGAGGCCTCAGCCTGTCCCGGGGGGCTCTGGAGCTGGGATGCCCCTCAGGTTGCTCCAACTGAGGCAAAGAGCTGGATCTTGACACCCCAAATGGACTAGTCACTGGATGTGGGCTTGCCCTTGGGTGAAGCAGCTCTCTTCCAGGGAGAGACTCAGTCAATACCAGTCAGCCACCATACCACCAGCAGCTGGGGGAACAGTGCCTCAGTCATGAAGGGGGTGTGGGCGGCACAGCACAGCATCGCACAGGAACTGTAGTAGACGCAGGAGCCTAAAGGATGATCCCTGCCCTGAGGATTTCTGTCTTTGGATGGATGGAATTACCATGATGCCAGGTCATGAACAGCAGATATCCTGGGAGGGGCCCAGACGCTATGCCAAGGGCACTCAAAGCAGACAAAGCCTCCTGTGGGATTCATGGCAGAGGTGACATAGATGTGGACCCAGAAGGGCAGTTCAACTTCTTGAGCCTGGTGACCTACCCTGCCTCTCCCAGGGTCTTTTGCCAGCAAGTTCTGTTCAGCACCGAGGACAGCTCTAGGCGCCACCTTCCTGGCCCACCACCCACTTGGGCGTGGGGAGACGGCACTACTCCACCCAACAGGCCAGGCATGCCCAGTGGAGACCTTCAGCATGTGTGCTCTGCCTCAGCAACACCCCTGGCAGGAGGAGGCAGTCCTCGAACCAGAACGGAGTCAGAGGAGTCCTTGTCAAGAGGATAAGAGACACCTCTTACTGTGTGAGGGGCCCATGCCAGCTGCCTCGCCTGCGCTTTCTTGTGAGGTCTTCCAGCGCCTTAGCTGATCTGAAACTGAGGGGTGAAGAGGAAACAGAAGCTGGCCTGGGGCACTTGGAGGGAAATGCAGAAGCTGAAACCAAATATAGAAGAGAAAGCCTGAGGCTCAGCTACTTCCATGAGTGGCAGACTTATGGGTTGAGGAACCGGGCATTGGGGCTCCAGAGAGGGCTGGAAGAGCCTGTGAGGAGCCATCGGGGACTGGGTCCCAATCGTCTCTCTGCCAGGAACCAGCTGTGTGACTTGGGGCAGGTCACGTGGACTCTCTGAACCCGTTTCTCCTTGACTCAAATGGAGCCAGCCTTTCTAATCTGAATTCTACCTCTGCCACCGCTAGCTGCAAGTTACTTATCCTCTCTGTACCTCAGTTTCCTTAGCTGCAAAATGGGGGTAATGAAAACCTTTCTCACAGAGTTTTGGAGATTTTGTACCTGTCTGGTCCTCCATTTCCCAGCCTGTCTCTCTCACAAAGGTGCCTACCCTGTGCTGTCATCGCAAGCCTTTCCATGCCAAAGGGAATGGGGCACAGCCCAAATCGTTGGATATACTCATTGAGGGTGGCCTCTGATATCTCAAGAATTTAACTGGCCTGCAGACCCTGTAAGCAGGGTAATAAAGCTGCCCTACATGGGGCTGGCCTGGTGGCATAGTGGTTAAGTTTGCATGCTCCGCTTTGGTGGCCCAGGGTTCGCAGTTTAGGATCCTGGGTGCAGACCTACGCACCACTAATCAAGCCACGCTGTGGCGGCGTCCCACATAAAGTAGAGGAAGATGGGCATGGATGTTGGCTCAGGGCCAATCTTCCTCAGCAAAAAGAGGAGGATTGGCAACAGATGTTCGCTCAGGGCTAATCTTCCTCACCGAAAAAAAAAAAAGAAAATTGTTGCCTACAAAGGCCCATTCCTAGGGGAGCAGAAAAACTGTGCCCGGACTGGTTTTTCCTCTCTAGAGGTGTGGAGGCACAGCTCCCACTGAAAAGCCCCAGCTTTAGCAGCTCTGCCCTCCCTTTAGAGTGTTCCATGGCTCCCACTTTCCCCCCATGTATCAGTTACTAAGCTTTTAGGGCCTTTCCTGCTGCAGAGACTAAAAATAGGGGTGAGGTCCACAGGTGAGGGTGATCTGGCAGGAGCCACTTAAAAACCTCCGTGTGTAGAGGGAGGGATCCTCACTAAATTTTAAACAGGGAAGTATATAATTCCCCAGAGAACTAAACACAGTCATGCTGACTCATTTTGAAGACTGGAGTTCTCTGCAAGAAGACGTTGGGGAGGGAAGTGGATGTTTTACTTAGCAAACTCCTCCCGAGCACCAGGCACTCAGAGGCCACTGCACACCTGTGATTTGCATTAATTGCCCAAAATCCCCGCCAGGGAGATGCTATTCTCCCTACTGTACAGACAGGAAAGACTCAGGTCTGCTGTGTTCTCTCCAGGAGCCCAGGAGCAGCGCGCAGAGCCCACAGACTGGAGGCCGAGTATCAGCACCCTGGGTGCAGGCCTCCCCAGCCTGCAGGGCCAGAGGAGAAGCCCAACGTGGGGGAGACCCTCAACCCGGGGGAGACTGTGGGATCTGGGCCCAGGACGGTCAGCAGGCGGTACCTGAGCTCCCTGAAGAACAAGCTGTCCAGCGGGGCCTGGAGGAAATCTTGCCAGCCCGGGACCAGCCCTGGGCCAGGGACGCAGGTGCCTGAGGCTAGGGTAGAATGGGGAGCTGGGGGGCCCCTTCAGTGACCTCCTCCCCACAAATTCTCTCCCAGCCAGAGCCAGCACTCCCCCGGGTGGGGGTCTCGTGTGACCAGAGGTCGGCTGGAAGCTCAATTCTCCCCACTCAACGGCCTTTGATTGTGTGTCTACTGTGTACCCCACTGTGGGCATTATTTCACATAGCCCCCACTGCAGGAGTCTTTTAGGCAAGGAAATCGAAACTCACATTTCCAAGGCCACACAGTTTGGAACAGCCTCCTCTGGGTTTCAGTCTCCTTATCTGTGGAGTTCGAGGGCTCGGCTGCCCGATGCTGTGCACCCTGGAGACAGACCGCCAGGGCTCGCACCCCAGCCCTTCTGCTTCCTAACCGTGTGAGCCTGGGCCGGTCACCTCAACCTCTTTGTGCCTGTTTCCTCCTTTAGAAACTGGGGGTGGTGATCATAGTCATATGTTCTGGTTAGCTTGTTATCTGCACAACAAACCACCCCAAAATGTGGTGGCCAAATACAATTTATTATTGCTCGCAGTTTTCTGGGTTGACTGGAATGCTCTTGGATGGTCTCTCTATTGGTCTCCCTTGGCATTTGTCTTAGTCAGCTTGGGCTGCCATAACAAAATACCCCAGACTGGGTGACTGAAACAACAGAAATAGGTTTTCTCAGAGTTCTGGAGACTGGCGGTCCAAGATCGAGGTGCTGGCAGGGTTGGTTTCTGGGGAGGCCTCTCTTCGCGGCTTGTAGACGGCCGTCTTCTCACTGTGTCATCACATGACCTTTCCTCTGTGCACGTGCTCTGCAGGTCTCTCCCTCTTCTTAGAAGGACACCAGTCCTAGTGAATTAGGACCTCATCCTTATGACCTCAGTTAACTTAATTACCCAGTTAAAGGCCCTCTATCCAAATACAGTTACATTGGAGGTTAGGGCTTCGATATATGGATTTAGGGGGGACACCATTCAGTCCATAAGAGGATCTCTCACGTGGCTGCGGTCAGATGGTGGCCAGGGCTAGAATGCCCAGGATAGCTCAACTCTCAAGCCTGGTGCCTGGGCAGGGACAGCCGGAAGCCTGGGCTCAGCTGGGATGCTGGCATGGCTGGGCCCCTGGCTCCCTCTCCATCAGGGCAGAGAGCTCCAGATGTGGTGGTTCATGGCTCCAAGAGAGCACAAGCAGAAGCTTCCAGGCCTCTTAAGGCTTCGGCCCAGATCTGGCACAGGCTCACGGCACCCCATTCTCTCAGTTAAAGGGATCCCAGCACCAGCCCAGGTGCACTGTGGGAGGGCATGAACACTGGGAGGTGCCTTTCACTGGGGCATCTTTGGAGACTGTGCCCAAGGTTCCCATCAGAAGAGACCTTCCCCTTTTCCTTCTCCCCCTAACGCCCCTGCAGGAGCCTGAGGAGAAGAGGATCGTCCAGGAGCTGCTGGAGACGGAGCAGGCCTATGTGGCACGCCTCCACCTGCTAGACCAGGCCAGTGGCCAGGATGCCCCAACCCGAGCCCCAGCACCGGCTCTTCTCACCAACCCCCCGCCCTCCCTTCCGACTCACAGCACCAGAGAGTTAGGGCCCTGGGATTTGATTGTAGGAAGCCTTAGTCCTTTGACCCTTTTGGCTGGAGTTGGGGCAGAAGACAGGATGTAGCCCATTAGCACCTCTCCCCACTCCTCCCTTGGTGCCTGGGCGGCCTCACGTGTAGCAGAATACACACCAACCAGTCCTCCCAGGCCCCACACAGCATCCTCATCTGTCATCCTCACCATGGTTACCCTTTCACACTTTCTTAAGGAGCCCCAAGGCTAGAGAGTTAAATCATTGACCATCAGCAGAGGGGTCTTGAGCCTGGCAAAGTCCAAGACCTTGACAGACACAAGATGGGCTCATTTCTGACATTCATCAGCTGCCAGCCTTTGGCCAAGTGCCTGAGTCTCTAGGCCTTGGTTTGCCCATCTGTAAAGTGGCCAGCATACCATCTTCCCTGCCTCTCTCTTCCGGGGATTGTTGCGAGGATGATGGGAGATTAAGGAGGGGAAAGCATTCAGTAAGCGAGGGAGGGACCCCCGAAGCCCCCTGGAGCTGTCTTGTCTCTCCCTGGGCTGGTGTGTGGGTGGCTCCGTCTCTGCCACAGGCCTAGTGACCCGGCGGTGGCTGCAGGTGTTCTTCCAGGAGCTGCTGAGAGAGGCCCGCAGCAGCAAGGCCTTCCCGGAGGACGTGGTCAGGCTCATCTTCTCCAACATCTCCTCCATCTACCTGTTCCACGCGCAGTTCTTCCTCCCAGAGCTGCAGCGGCGGCTGGACGACTGGTAAGTTCCACCAGGAGCCCCCGAGGCCCCTGACTGCAGCCCTGGGGCATTGGGTTTGGCCTGCTAGGCCCCTGCCCTTGCTGCGTGGCCATGAGAGTCTCCTCTGCTGGGCTCAGTCTGTCTGCACAGCAAGGGGCTTGGATGACTGAGTCCTGGAGGCTCTGTGTGTGTGTGTGTGTGTGTGTGTGTGTGTGTGTATGTCCTGGGGAAGGGGATGGATCAGGTCCTCACTCGGCTGAGTGACGTAGGAGGCAGTGGAAATAGCCAGCGCTAACTGAAGGCTTCCTACATGCCCGGCCTTGTGCTTTGCGTCTATAAACTCGTTAATCTTCACATCAGCCTGCTGCGTGCTGACGGCAATTGTGGTTATGCAAGAAGCCCTCTTTGTTTTCAGAGATGACCACCAAAGCATTTAGTGGTGAAATTACTTGCTTTATATATTTTGCCAAAAAAAATACCATGGTGTCTGGGATGTCCTTTAAAATTCTTCAGCAAAGAAGGATGTTAGTAATTGTTAAATCCAGTGATGGATATATAGGGATTCATTATTATATTTTTTTTACTTTATGATTGCTTAAAAGTTTTCATAATAGAAGATATTTTTTAAAAAAAGACAACCCTATGAGATTACCTGCCATCATTGTCATTTTTTTCAGCTGGGAAAATTGAGGTACAGAGAGGTTAGGTGACTTGCCCAAGAACACACAGCGAGAGTAAGTGGTGTGGTTGGGAATCAGACTCAGGCAGGCCAGCTCCAGGTTGTGGCTCCTTACCGCTCTGCTCTAACAGTCCCTGGGTTGAATCCCTACCATAGGATGATCCTCGATAAGTTCTTTCCCTCTGAGTCTTGATTTCCTCATCTCTAAGATGGGCCACCGACTGTCCCCCCTGCAGGCTGTGAGAATTAAACGAGATGAGACATGCGACGTGTCTTGGGCCGTGCTTGGCATGTGGCCCTCGTTACTGTTACGTGAACAAGATCAAATGGTTATTGAACACCTGCTGTGGGCCCAACACTGTTCGGGCCTTTGGGGGGGCCCAATCCGTGGAAGAGAACAGCATCTGCCCTCAGGGGACTCACAGTCTAAGGGGGGGGGCACCGCACACCCCATACCTGCTAGCAGAAGTATAGCAGAGGGCCGGCCCCGTGGCTTAGCGGTTAAGTGCGCGCGCTCTGCTGCTGGCGGCCCAGGTTCGGATCCCGGGCGCGCACCAACACACCGCTGCTCCGGCCATGCTGAGGCTGCGTCCCACATACAGCAACTAGAAGGATGTGCAGCTATGACATACAACTATCTACTGGGGCTTTGGGGGAAAAAATAAATAAATAAATAAAAATTAAAAAAAAAAAAAGTATAGCAGAAAGTCTGCTTTGGGGGGTTCAGGGGGCCTGGCCTAACCTGACCCTGCCTGGGGTCAAGAGAGGAGGTCCCCAGGCTGAGAGAGATAACTGGGTGCTCCTCCTGCAGGTCGGCCACCCCCCGCATCGGTGATGTGATCCAGAAACTGGCCCCCTTCCTGAAGATGTACAGTGAGTATGTCAAGAACTTTCAGCGAGCCGCTGAGCTGCTGGCCACCTGGACGGACAAGTCTCCACCCTTCCAGGAGGTTATCACCCGCATTCAGGTGAGGGCGGGGTGGGGGCCGGGGCAGAGCCTGCACTGTTGCCCCTGGTGTGTAGGGGCTGTTTCCCCGAGTGATTCTGGGCATGTCCAGGCTCGGCTGCTTCCACAGGCCCCAGCGCCCGCCCACCCTGCCCCCTCCCCTGCCCCTGGGGCAGCCTGACCCACCCTCCCACTCTCACCCCCGCTATCCCTCCCGCATCCCTCCTCAAGAGCAGCGAGGCTTCGGGCAGCCTGACCCTGCAGCACCACATGCTGGAGCCTGTCCAGAGAATTCCACGCTACGAGCTGCTGCTCAAGGAGTACGTCCAGAAGCTGCCAGCGGAGGCCGCAGACCGGGCTGATGCCCAGAGTAAGGACACCCCAGGGGGCCCAGGGGCCCGGGGAGGCCTGAGCCACTCCCACATATTTATTGTGCACCTGCTAAAATGGTTCTGATGACCATTAGCCATCAGCATTGATCCTTGGCACTTCATAGACATTATCTATACCATTAGCCATTTTTTTACAGATGAGGACGCTAAGGCCCAGAGAGGTTGCGTGCCTTGCTCAACTAGAAGGGAGCAGGGCTGGGATTTGGAGCCATGCCTGCATGACACCCAAGCCCGTGCTCTTTCCACTGCGCCCTCTGTCCTGGCTGGGTTCAGGGAGCAGCGAGGGTCCCAGAGGCTGAACTCCTAAGCCCTGTCTTTCAGTGGCTTCCAGTCTCTCCACCCTGGGTGGGAAGTGGGCCCCATCATCCGGACACCCCATGTGCCAGGCTGCTCCTGGGGGCACTCACAGCGGGCCCTGAGGCCACTTTGTTAAGCCTCAAAGACCTCCTGCCCCAACCACTGGTCCCAGATTTTCAGGGGGTAACTCTGGCCCTGCCCCCCTTCAGAAGCCCTCGACATGATCTTCTCGGCCGCGCAGCACTCCAACGCAGCCATCACTGAGATGGTGAGCAGCCCAGCCCTCGGGGTGGAGGCAGTGGGCATCCTCAGGGACCCGGTCCCTCATCCCTACAGCTCTCAGCTTCCCCCAGCCTACCCGGGTCTCTATACCCACTCCTCCCCTGATCCTGCCCCGTGACGCCTGACCCTGCTGCTGCCCTCCCTCACACCTGCCCCTGTCCACACAAGGCAAACCCTCCAGAACCAGGGGGGCTCTGCCCGGCCCTGGCTGAGGGCGCACCCCTGTCCCCAGGAGCGGCTGCAGGAGCTGTGGGAGGTGTACCAGCGCCTGGGCCTCGAGGATGACATAGTAGACCCCTCCAACACTCTGCTCCGTGAGGGCCCCGTTTTCAAGATCTCCTTCCGCCGCAGCGACCCCATGGAGCGCTACCTTTTCTTGGTAGGGGGACGCTGGGGGGCCCACCCCACGCTGGGGAGGGCAGTCCATGGGCCACTCTGCTCTGGGTCCTGCCTGATGACGTCTACCTAGCACTGCAGGAGGAACAGGGAAGACCCTGCTTCTCTGCCCTTCTCTGCTTTGGCACCCGTGTGACTGGACAAGTCACGTGCTGCCTCCAGGCCTCACGGATTTCCATCTGAAAGGCTTCCCAGACATTCCCTAGGAAGCAACAGCCTTAGAATCTGAAGCCAGTCTGTTTGGCTCCAAAACCTGTGGTATTAACCTGTGCTCTAGGGAGTGCACAGCAGGAGGGAATTAAGTTAGCTACGAGGAAGAACTGCCAGGGTTTGCCCTGAAGAAGCCAGGGGGTCTCCTGGAGATCTGGAAACTGGTCCTGGGCGTCTGGAGGTCTGGGGGAGGGAGCTAGAACCTCTCCTAAGCCCCTGCTGCCCTGAGCCCCTGTGAGACAGGCCTCATAGATTTCTGAGGTCTACTGTGGACCCTTGACGCCCACAGGTAGGGTGACCCTTCAGTGACCATCTACTTGGATTGGGGGCACAACAACCCCTTCCTCATCACACTTGTAACGTCCTGTGAGCTGGCCCAGAGTGTGGTGGAAGGGGAGGGAGAGCCGGCGGTGCCCAGCCCACCTCGGGGAAGCCCCGCTTCACCATCCTTCCCGCCCCCCCACTGCGCACACACTCATCGTTGTGTCTCCCGCAGTTCAACAACATGCTGCTCTACTGTGTGCCCAGGGTCATCCAGGTGGGCGCCCACTTCCAGGTGAGGACCCGCATCGACGTGGCCGGGATGAAGGTGAGTGGCACCCCATCCCCCATGCCTGAGCTGACTGAGGGCTTCTAGGAATACAGCGCCGACCCCGGGGGCATCCAGCTTTCCGTCTGGAGGTGGCCAGAATGTCCCAGAGGCCAGGGCGTGTGCAGGCTTGTACCTCTGGGAGCCTCGGTGAGTGAGACTGAGAAAGACAGGTGTATGGAGAGCTACAGACAGACAGAAAAATGGAGACAGGAAGCCCTGTTTTAGGACTAGCAGAGACCCAGGCATAAAAAAAGAGAGGCAGAGATTAACAGATAGAAAAACCAAGAAACAGAGATCAAAACAGAATCGTAAAGAAAATAAGAGAGATGGGGCTGAGAGCATCAGACGCTTAGGGTGTGTGCCCAGGGCTCGGGGACCCAGTGTGTGCGGGCCCTGGCGTCTGCCAGTCCCAGGCAACACGTTCTCCCAGGGCGTGTCCGCTGCTCTGGCGGCCGCATAGCTCCCTCTCCCGGATGGCACGGGCCTGGCAGGTGCAGAGCTGTCTACCCGTCTGTGTCGGTGCAGGAACCATTTTCTGAGTCTGAGGTTTGGAGGCAGCTCTGGAATTTGACCACGATGATGGTTCCCACTGGCCTATGACCCCTTGGCCTCCTCCTCCCTGGATGTCAGGGAGGCCTAGTTCTCAGCAGCTGATTCTCCCCAAGGTCTGAGTTGGTCCTAGTGTTGTGCCATCCTGCACAGGGCCAGCCTGGGAAGAAGGAAGCACACACACCCAGGGTCTCCATGTACATCTGTGCAGGTTATGCACCACACGAGCACACCTCATCTAAGATGAGCACACTTCATCCACAGCAGACATCACAGCTTGTATATTTACAATTCTTATTGTCCGGCAGATGGCAGTCAAGCATCCTGTCCCAACAAAATCCGAATGTTATGCCTGTTTGCCAACAGATGTCAGTCAAGTGTTTCAGGAAAGGGGCATCTTTTTCTAATTAGCACAAAGGCACTGTATGGGCTAGCGGGGGCCTGAACCGGTCCTGACCGGGGCAGTGGTTGAGACTGGGCACGGCAGAGCTCGGGGAACTATCCTCTGGAAACCCTCATCCTGCCCCTATGCACAGGTGGTCCTGGGCCCTCAGGTCAGGAGCTCCCCTCAGCTCCCCTTTTCCTATTAAAAGCATCATATTTCTTCCTACCTCTGGACTCCAAACCTTAGATTTCTCCCTTCTTTTCCCTCCCCCGTCTCCCTCACCCGATTAGTCATGGAGTCTCGCCAGATTTCCTGATATTGTCCCCCAGGTAGCAACCCCTTCTCTCTCCCCAGGCAGGACTGGACCATTTAGGGTGTGACTTCCTAGCTGGCCTTTGGGCCACCAGTTTGTCCCATTTTGCCCAGATCCAGCCCTTCATCCCTTACACACAGCTCTGCAGTGGCTCTCCCAAACCCTTCTTTCCACATGAGCTTCTCCATTGACAAACCCGCAGAGCCTTCCCACTGCCCAGGGTACTGAGTCCAAGTCACAGCAGGCTCTTTCTAGAGGGAGCAGACTGGTCTGTGGGCCAACATGAGGGGAGGTGTGCCTGTAGTCAGTGCTCTCTGGGAGGTGGTGGGTCGCCCTGAAAGTGTGCAAAGGCCTGGTGACCACGTGGCGGGGAGACAGCAGAGGGCCTCAAGTGTCAGGTGGGTTCAATGATGACAGTGTTCCCCCACACTAAGGCTCTTGGGCTCTAGTCTCTGTTTTGGCTCTCTTTTGTGACTCTCTCTCCACACCGCCTAAGAGAGGTCTATGCTTACAGGACTCTGGGGCTGGGGTGGAAGTAGATTTTCTTCCATCTTTTCCTTGGGAGGCCAAAAATATGAGTTTGAATCCTCATTCTGCCCTTTAGATGCTGTGTGACCTCAGGCAGGTCTCTTGCCCTCTCTGAGTCTCCATTTCCTTATCACCTAAAGGAGGGTGATGTCTGCCTCCCAAGATTGCTGTGAAGATTTTCTTTTTTTTTTTTTTAATGTTTATTTATTAATTTTTTCCCCCAAAGCCCCAGTAGATAGTTGTATGTCATAGCTGCACATCCTTCTAGTTGCTGTATGTGGGACGCGGCCTCAGC